TTAGTTGATTAATAACAAAAATACTTGTATTACGAAAGCACAATCAGGAAAATATTTGACTACGTCGTCGAGCGTTGGTCAGTATGTTGGAGTTGTTGACGTAAGTTGTCTAATTCGAGTTCGAATATAAATGAGAACGCAAATGAATACCTTCACTTCGAATATGAATATAAAAACACGGCGACACATGTTTATTTTCAGCAACAGAAAAAGGAATAGTTTCATTTATATAAATTTGTCAATTGTGATAGGCACCCATGTTTAGTTTCAGAAAAACGAAAAGAAATGATTTTATTTATATAAATTTCTAAATTCAGATGCACACATGTTAAACTTGAGAAAAGGAGAAACAAATAGTTTCACTTATAAATTTAATTACTATAACAGAAGCTTTGAATTCCATATTCATATGAAAAATTTATTATTTGTTTAAATAATTGTTATTATTTAAAAACTTTTAATTTCTTGTATTGTCAACCTTTCGACAGATATACTGTCATTTTCAAGACATATGATAAAGAGGGAATTTGACAAAGAAAAATATAACGGGTGGGCCATAAAGAATGACCCTCTCAGTATTTTGACAATAACATTTTTTCCTTTTGATCTTTAGAGTTGTTTGTTTTTCTAAAAGATGCGCAATCAAATTCTCTACAAAACCATAATCGAACGTACTTATGTAGTAAGTGAAGAAAAAAAATGAAATGAAGATTATCCGACACATTACAAGTACCCAACTTTCAAAGCTAACGAGTGTCCCATAATGAATGACCAGCGTTTGTATTTTTTTATTGTCAAGTACGTCTACTTTAAAAGCAAAGTATACCATAAGATGCAGCGTAAAAAGCTCTACAAGTTACATTAAAAACCTTATTTTATATATGAATGCTTTGTTTTCAAAATGGACGATATTCTATGCGACCAATTTTCGACGCTGTGAACAAGATCATTTTTGATCGCACAGAGCTTTGCTTATTTTAAAAAAAAGATGCATATATATAAAATAAACTGTTCGTTGCAGATTGTAGAGCTTTTCACGCTGCATCTTGTCGTACATTTTATTTTCTTTTAATAAAACATATTAGGAGATAAAAAGATTAAATAAGAAAAAATGAATTCGTAGTGTACCAAAAATTGATTTTGTTTGCAGTGTCGAAAATTGGTCGCATAGAATTTCGTCCATTTTTAAAACAAATAGTGAATGTATAAAATAAGATTTTTCAATGTAACTTATAGGGCTTTTCACGCTGCGTCTTATGATATACTTTGCTTTTAAAATAGACTTAGTTAACTATAAAAAGAAGAAATACAAATACTGGTTAGCTTTGAAAGTTGGGTACTTGTAATGTGTCGGATAATCTTCTTTTTATTTTTTTCTTAACTTACTACAGAAGTACGTGCGATTATGGTTTTGTAGAGAATATGACGACGCATCTTTTAGAAAAACAAACAACTCTAAAGATCAAAAAGAAAAAATGTTATAGTCAAAATACTGAGAGGGTCATTCTTTATGGCCCACCCGTTATATGAATAGAAAATGAAAAAAGCGAACATCTGTTGTCTCACCAACCAGAAAATCCACAGATACCTCCAACATAGTTATATTAGTATTATGAGCGCTCATGACTAAAGTAAATCGGGGTCGGGAATCCGAATCTAAAGTCAGATTTTGAAAATTTCGAAGTGAGTTTTTTGGGTTAACGGAAGGGTTTTTTGAGAAAATACTGATATTTTATAAAGGTTGACGAAAGTAAATCGTAGCGGCGGCGCCAGGAATTTTAATCTGGAGGGGTTCAGCCCCTAAACTCCGAAAGTCGAAAACAGGGGTGTTCCGAGGTCGAAAGTATGGGAGAAGCGGTTATCACTTAAGAAGTCGTTAGAAAAATTTTTGCGAAACGTCCTATATCAAACGGACGAGTCGAAAACCGTCGGTTAATTTCGGTTATTTTTGTGACCTTTGATTAACCGCGATTAAGTCCTTTTTTATCAAGATTTTACAACGCAAAAACCAATGGTTTACTGCAGTTAACCTTCTGTTTGACAGAGCAAGCGGCCGGTTAGTTCCGTTATTTTCTTGGCTAACGGGTAGGTTAAACGCGGTTAACTGTTGGTTTTTTAGGCTGTAAGATTTTGAGAACAAAGTAAATAACCGAAATCAACCGACGGTTTTTGATCGTTTCGTACGAAATGAGGTGATCAAATTTTTTTAAGAAGGGAGGAAAGGTTTTTATAAATTGGTGAGCAGAAAAACAAAAACATGCTTATGTTTTCTGTGGCAAAATGAAAATTTTTCAAGATAGAGGAGGGAAAGAGGATTACCTGCCTCCTCCCGTGGTCGAGACATCCCTGGTGTGAGTGTGGAGATGTCGGTGTAGTCTCTCCCATCAATATTCACAACGGTATCCACATTCACAGTCTTAGAAATGTATCAGCTATTGATTCTCCTTCGTAGTTTATGTCAAAACCACGATCAATGGTCAGTACGGTGAAATCATTTAATAATCAACCACGAAATTTCGAAGATAGTTTTTGATTATCTTCATCTACAAGAAAGATCCCGTAAAAGTTACTTGTGACATCAGCATAACTATTGCATTTTTAAACATTGTTAATGTTTGTAGAAATGCGTCTCCCATTGAAATTGACTCATTAGGGAATTAAATAAAGTGATTGATTTTTTTCTATTTAGCCACACCTTTGATAACAAGAAATTCAGCTTTAAAGCGCCTGAATCTTCACTAATATGAAAATGAAATTTATCACCTGCATAGCTATTAAGAAACTCGCAATGCCAAGATAAACAGTGGAGATGCTTTTCATCAATGAACATGTTTTTAATGAAAACCTATCATTTAACTCTAGTACAGTACTTTAGATCAGAAAAGGTAAAATCAGTAAAGATAATCAGTTGATACAATGTTTTACGTTTCCAAACTGTTACATTTATGAAGAAAAGCTTGCAATCTAGTAGATATTGTAGTTGGAAGATAAGATTGATACTCTTATACCAAATCAGTTTCATTTAAATTAAAAAATTCTTTTAGTTTATCATAAATTCGGTCAAATGATTTCTAATTACGAAGTCTTTCTACTTGTTGAATAAGTGATATCATAAGCTGCTCACGAAGTACACAATCTAAGGACGAATCATTGAGAAAAATAAGCATAATAACGTTTGCAGTTGTAGAAGTAAAAGTTTCGATATTTAAATGTTTAATTAAGACTTTAATGTGACCAAATAATTTATAACGAACAAATGAAGTCCGCATAAAAAGTAGTTTCTTTACGTGCATTGGCAATTCCCATTATTTGTTAATCGTACTCAGAATGCATATCTAGAGATTGTGATTTCGACGATACTAGATGAAGTGAGTTTTGTTTAGTGGCAGTGACTAACCCGTAGGGAACTAGAGAGAAGTTTCTAGAACATAGAAATTAGTTTGTCGCAATACTTTCAAAGAAGATTATAG